TTGATGATTTTGTCATATATCAAGATTTATAACTAAACTAAAAGACTTAAATCCTGAATATTCTAGATCAGTGTCTTTTAAATATCACAGCTCTTTAGGTAGATCTTTATTTTCAGTTGGTAGATAATATATTTCAATTTTTTATGCTTAGATTTAAGGGAAAATGATTTAACCTTTTTTTTTTTTTTTGGAGACAATGTCTTGCTATGTAGCCCAGGCTGGCCTTGAATTCAAAGTAATGTTTCTGCCTCAGCCTCCCAAATGCTGAGATTTACAGATATGTGCCATCATGCCTGGAACCTTTTGATTGTTAGGAGTCATTCTCACAGATTTGTTATGCATATTAGTCTAATCCGTGTCATAAGGAGCTGGGAAAATATTGTTAGAAATAATTTCTTGCAAGTCTTATTTGAGGATGCACCATAGTGTAAGTACTACTTTTAAAATGGAGAGTTTCTTTCCCTTTGATTAAAAAGACCCTGAATTTTAAAAAATGCCCAGTATCGTTATGTTACTTTTTATGTTATGCTTTTTTCTAGGAAGATAATTAACTTTCAGTGGGTTCCTCAATATGACAGATAAACTTAAGTATTACATTATAATTAAGATTTTTCCTTTATTAGTAATAAAAATATCCTCTTTCTTTGCTTTCTTTCTTTTTGAGACAGAGTCCTGCTATGTAGTTCAGGCTGGCCTGAACTATGTAGCCCAGGTTGGCCTCAAACTCACAGCACTCCTCCTGTCTCAGCCTCCAGAGTACTGGGATTATAGGTGAGTGCTACCACACCTGGACTTAAACACGTTGTCATTCTTACTAATGATTCCATAATGTAATCATTCCTATTTCTTTTCTTGACCAGACTTATCAGTGTCTATTGAAGTTAACACACTTTAGGGGGAAAATTTTAAAAAACAAAAGCATTAGCCAAGCATGGTGGCACACATTTGTAACCCCAGCACTTAGGAGCCTGAGGCAGGAGGATTGCCATGAGTTTGAGGCCAGTTTGAGCTTATGGAGTGAGTTCAAGGTCAGCCTGAACTACATAACGAGACCCTGTTCCCCCCACAAACATTCAAGTATTAATTACTTAAGTTCCAAGTCATTAAACTTCTAGATGACAGAAAATAATCTTTTAAACAGTATTAACCTGCCCATACAGGACTGCCAACATTTCAAAGCTCTGACATGTGATATGATATGATGACTGTTTAAATAAAATTTTAAAATTACAGGCAAAGACATTGCCATAACCTTCCCAAAGTACTTTCCCTCGCTTTGAACACATTTATCCCGTCATTCTTGCCACTCTGTGAAGTCATTTTGGAAATTTCTTTCTTGAGTGTCCTTTTGTGGGTGTATCAATATCTTGAATCAACTCAAAACATTTATAGCAATTTTTGTTGCATACAAAAATTACAGTCTGGGTGAGCAGGGTGGTGCATGCCTGTAGTACCAACACTCAGGGGGCTGAGGTAGGAGTATCACCGCAAGTGTGAGGTCAGCCTAGACTACATATTGAGTTCAAGGCCAGCCTTAACTACACAATGAAACCCTGTCTAAAAAAGCCAAAAATTATATTGTGTCCTTATTGACCTCATTTGCCAGATCTGGCACTGTGTGACTTGGGGAAGAAATCATGGACTTTAACCATTTTGAATCAACTCAGGATACTGAGGCAACCATGATAGCACAACTAAAGAATTTATAGAAAAGGACCTCTATAACTGCTCAAAAATTCACAAGAGGGACTGGGGATTTCGCTCAGTGGCACAGCACCTGCCTGGCAAGCACAAGGTAGTGAGTTCAATTCCTGGTACCAGAAAAACAAAACAAAACAAAACAAAACAAAACAAAACAAAACAAAACAAAAAGCCACAAGAACAATGGAATAAGTGTATTAGATGTGAGGGGAAATAATGGCAATGTGCCTTTTACCACAATAAAATTTTTAAAAATTAAACAAAACTCATCATATTTTTGGATTACATCTCATAAGGCATTTTTCTGAATAGGCGCTATGTTCTACATTAATTTTCCATTCATATATATATATATATTAGATTATAATTTCAAAAGGGAGTGACAAAATACTTTCACTCAGATTAATAAGTATAAAGTGGGTCTCAACAATGGAGAAATCAAATAGTCACCTTTATAACCAACCAATAACACATAGCATTAATAATACAGGTTTCAGTATCCCTTATCCTAAATGCTTGTAACAAGAAGTGTTTCAAATTTTGGAATTTCTAAATTTTTAGAACATTTGCACATATATAATGAAATAACTTGAGGATGGGACCCAAGTATAAACAGAAAATTCATTTGTTTACACATATATCAACAAACATACCCTAAAGGTAGTTTTATACAATACAGTCATGCAACACATAAAAATATTTTGGTTTATGATGGTCCATCTATACAATGGTGGTCCTGTAAGACTATTTTGCTTCATTATGTCACAGCTGTCTTAGTTTGTGTATGTATATTCTATGATATTTGCATAGAAACAAAATTGTCTAATGATGTATTCCTCAGGATTATCTCTGTCCTTAAGTTATATATGACCATATTTTTAGTAATACTTTATACATTTTGTTATGTCACATGAGGTCAGGTGTGGAATTTCTACTTAGATCATTATGTTGGTATTCAAAAGTTTTAAATTTTGAGGTATTTCCAATTTCAGAGTTTTAGATTAGGAATATTCAACTTGTAATTGGAAAATTCAACATTATGTACATTTTAATTTATACAGCATTGGTTAATTGACTCCTCTTTCCTTAACCCAAATTTACTAAAACTATTAAGGACAGACGTATAAGATAAAGGTCCAGGGGTACAGCTCAGTGGTTAAGTATTGTACTTGCCTACCATGAGATCTTGGATCTTATCCTCAGCACCAGACAGACAAACAAAGAGAAAGAAAACAATCACAAAAAGATAATGATCCACAAAGAAAGTAATTTTTAAAATCTAGAATATGGAACATTCAATGAAAGAAGTATATATTACTATTTGAAAATCCAAAGTCATGAAACATTATGGGAATATTGTTCTATACAGAAGGTGGCAATTTTTAACCAGAGAGAATAAAATGTTTAGTTTTATAAGCCATATAGTCTCTGTTCTAAACTATTCAACTCTGCAGGAGTAATATGCAAACAGTTAGATAATATGTAAATAAATGCTTGTGCCAGTGCTGCAATAAAACTCATGTTTTAAGCAGGGCATGGTGGTGCATGCTTGTATTCCAAGCACTCTGAGGGGCTGAACAGGAGGATGACAAATTCTAGCCCAGCCTGGGCAACTTAGTGACTTAATGAAACCCTATCTCAAAAAATAAAACCAGAAAGGGCTGGAGATATATCTTAGTATTAAGGCCCTGAGTTCAATACCCAGTATAACTAAAAATATAAAATAACTAAAAAGGGGCTGGGCTGGGGATGTAACTCAGTACAATTGGTTTTAACCTTTAGTACTACCAAAACAAAAGCAAAGAAACAACAACAACAAATAATAAAAAAGCTAGTATTTTAAATCCTATTTTTTTACATTTTACTAGATTTTAATCAGAAATAATTTTAAACTCATAAAATATAAGCAATTACCTGAAGCTTTTCTAAAATTATTATATCTATATGGACTCATAATAATTTGTTAATGGTAATATAATATTAAAAATAGTATCTAATACTTACTGAATAGAGATGACATGTGAGATAGCTTTCTAAGTTTTCTACATTTCAATATAAGCACTATAATGTATGTACAGTTATTATCATTTGCAAAAGACTCCCAGTAGGATAAATATCTTACCCAATGTCATATACACTCTAAGCATAGAATGGCAATCACATTATTTTTTCTATGTTTGTTAAGTCAATAGGAATTTTCAGTGGTATGAATTTTCTCAATTTAATAATAATTAACAGGGCCAGGGATATAGCTCAGCAGCACAAATGCCTGCTTGGCAAGCACAAGGTTCTGAGTTCAATTCCCAGAACAAATTAATAATAATAATAATAATAATAATAATAAAAACAGGGCCAGAAAACTTTTATAAATAAAACAATAAAAAAGACATCCCTACATTCTCTGAGTTTTCCTCAGTGAATATACTAATAATCAATGAATAAAGAAGCAAGTTTTTCTGTTACATAAAAATACATCAGAAATTCTCTGAATATGAATATTTGAATCATAACTCAAAATATTTAAAATCTGTGGAGTTTCACAGTGTAAACTAATGTCTTATAAGAACTGAACCATATTTAAAAGCATTCCCATATTTTTTTTCAAGTTGTCAATGTTATAAATACACTGATGAGCTGTATATTACCTATTATATATGGCCCTTTCCAAAGCTCTTTCACTTGTAAGGTTTTTCTCTAGTATGAATTCTTTGATGTATTTTAAGACTTGAATTAAGCCTAAAGAATTTCCCACATTTGTTACACTGAAAAGGCTTCTCACCACTGTGAATACTCTGATGTCGTGTAAGTCTTGTATATACACTAAAGGCCTTCCCACATTCCTTACATTCATAAGGTTTTTCACCAGTATGAATTCTCTGATGTACAGTAAGTTGATGGCTACTCTTAAAAGCCTTCCCACACTCCTTACATTCATAGGGCTTCTCACCAGTATGAAGTCTGTGATGCATTCGAAGGCTTTCAATATGACCAAAGGCCCTCCAACATTCCTGACATTTATAGGGTTTTTCACCAGTATGAATTCTTTCATGCCTAACAAGGTCTGAAGTACGACCAAAGGCCTTCCCACATTCTTTACATTCATAGGGTTTTTCACCAGTATGAATTTTCTGATGTATCTTAAGGCTACCACCATGAATAAAAGCCTTTCCACATTCTTTACATTTATAGGGCTTTTCACCGGTATGCATTCTCTCATGTTGAATAAGTGCTGAGGCACGACTAAAAGCCTTCCCACATTCATTACATTCAAAAGGTTTTACACCAGTGTGCATTCTCTGATGAGGAATGAGTTGATAAATACGACTAAAAGTCATTCCACATTCTTCACACTCATAAGGCTTCTTGCCAGTATGAATTCTCTCATGTTGAACAAGATTTGAGGTACAACTAAAGGCTTTTCCACATTCTTTACATTTACAAGGTTTCTCACCAGTATGAATTCTATGATGTACTCTAAGATCTATTCCACGACTAAAGGTCATCCCACATTCATGGCATTCATAGGGTTTTTCACCAGTATGAATTCTGTCATGCTGCACAAGGTGAGAGGCCTGACTAAAGGTCTTGCCACATGCTTTACATTCATAGGGTTTCTCACCAGTATGAATTCTTTGATGTATTTTAAGTTTTCCACCTTTACTAAAGGCCTTCCCACATTCTTGGCATACATACGATTTCTCACCACTATGAACTTTTCTATGTTGAGTTAGGTATGAGGCACGACTAAAGGGCTTTCCACACTCTTTGCATTGATAAGGTTTCTCACCAGTATGAATTCTCTGATGAACTCTAAGGTCTATATTACGACTAAAGGTCATCCCACATTCCTCACATTTATAGGGTTTTTCACCAGTATGAATTTTCTGATGTTGTAGCAGGTTGGAAGCACGATTGAAAGCTTTTCCACATTGCTTACATTCATAGGGTTTCTCACCAGTATGAATTCTCTGATGTACTGTAAGGTCTGTGTGACGAGTAAAGGCCTTTCCACATCTGTTACATTCAAAGGATTTCTCACTATTATGAATTCTTTCATGTAGAGTAACAGATGAAGGTTTTCTAAAAATGTGCACTTTTCCATAACTGACTTTGTCATACTTTGACTCCAAATCTAAAAGAAATAAAACAGTTTTTTCTGTCAAAAAAAAAATGTTCTATAGATTTATTTAAATGCTAAATCTGTCAATTAGAGATGAATACTCAAAAGAACATTAAAATCAGCTATACAATTTGGAACTTTTGTTGACAATGTCTTTATAATTCTCATTCATCATACTTCACTATAGTGATCAAAAGTTATTCCTGTATCACTTTTAATACTTAATATAAACAAATAAATTAAAAGCAACTACTTATACTTAATTTTCATCCCAGTATATTTCTCCATAAAAATACAGACATCATGGTTCATTCTCTCATATGTACCACCATGTGAACTTTTTGTTATTTTTCAAATCAAAATCTTGAGTTTTTATTACCTTTGCTGAGACATTTCTCACTAATTATCCATTATACAAATGTATAATTGTTTTATTCCTTCATATCTTTTCTCAAGTCTTCTCTTATTTTCCCTTTAAGACAAGGTTGATCATTCTGGTAATTCCCAGAAGAATATGTCAATGAGTTTTCAGACATGTTCTAGGATTACATACTACTGAAAATCTTCTGAGCATTTGGGTAATCTGAGAGGGGGAATTCTGAGCATTTGGGTAATCTGAGGGATGGGGACTGAACTACACACTAAAGAAGTCTAGAGGAAAAGTGCCAGGAGAATGAAAATGAGAATAAAAAGATTTATTCTGGAGGATAATAACGTGTAAGATGGAATAGCTTAAGCAAATTTGAAAGTGCTGATGAGTAGGGCATGATTAAGGAGTAGAAATATCTTCTTGTGAATAGATGATAATACATATTCAAATGTTGAAATAATACAAATATATTTTCTCTCTGAAATAAAGTAACAATAACAACAACAACAAAAACCAAGGCAACTATCAGGAAACCAAAACACCTTACATGTGAAAATGAAAATATCTTCTCCAGAATAACTTCTAGGTCAATACAAAATTAAAGCCTGAGATAAAACCCTGAATCCTTTTATTTTGCTATTGTTCTTTTTTATTATTCTAGTTAAAATTTAAAAAAAAAGAAAAAAATGATTCTGGGTAGTAATGTCTAAAAAAAGAAAAGAAATAATTATAGTAAGTCATAATAAATATATATACTGAAATCACTGGCATTCATTTTCAACATTCAGAGAATTCAACTGGGATAAAAAAAAGTTATCCCAATAAGTTGGACACAGTAGTGCAAACCTATAATACCAGCATTCTGAGGCTGAGGCAGGGGAATTTCAATTTCTAGCCAAGCCTATGCAACGTTATCAACTTAGCAAGATGCTGTCTCAAAATAAAAAAATTAAGAAAGGACTGGGGATATAGTTCAGCATGATTCAGTACCTAATATGCCACACACACAGAAAAAAATCTCAATAAAAATTAAAGAAGTAAATGAAGTAAAAATTCAATTCCAGATTTTATATAATGTGTCTATTAAAAGTAAAGAAGAAAAACTAAGACAAAAGAAAATAATGAGTTAGAAGGCATCAATATTAACAAATAAATCAAAGAACTGGTGCTTAAAACTTCAGTAAGTAAGGTCTGGGCATGTAGCTCAGTGGTAAAGCACTTGCCTAGCATGTATGAGGACTTAGTTCAATCCTCAACATTTCAAAAAGAAAAAATTAACCCACACTAAGTAAAACAAACAGGACTAACCTACATCAATCAAATAGGAATAAAAGAAAAATAATATATAACAAAATACAAAATAAAAAGAATTTCATTTATATTCTCATACTTTTTCACAGATCACTCTTAAAATTACAAATGGCATAGGTGGTTTACTTTAAAAATTAATCAAAATTGACCAGAAAGGGAAAAATCAAACAAGCTACAAAGAGGAAACAGAAAAAGTTGTCATAAAAGACAGTTCTAATGAGCCCTCTTTACTCCTAAACTGAATTTCTAAATACCAATCTTCACTCTAGAGATACAAGATAGCTGAATAAAGGGATAATTTAGGAATGTAGGAGAGGTGAGCAAAGAAATTGTATCCACAAAAGAAATGAAGACCTCAAAGACAGATGTGACTAAATGAAACTGAAAACAGCAGCATATAACGATGATGATAGATATATAAACAATATTATAAAAAGTGATGATTCAGTAATGATACAAGAAAAAAGAAATTTTGTAAAATCATTAAATAACTTGATTTTAAGATGTTGTAGTTCTATCATGGTTATGTAAATTCTTTTATAGTCTATCTTCTTTATTATTAACTAAAAAGGTTCAACAAATTTTTACAAAATCAACCAACTGAGGTCAAACCCAGTAACAAACCCAGGTATCTTTATGAGAACTCTAGAAATTAGTTAAGGAGCTATAGCACAAAGGTGAGTACATAAGCAAAACAAGAAATAGCTAAGAATACTAGGAGATTATCACAGTTTTCTGGCCCTAGCTTCTTCCAAATCCAATCTAATGTGGTGCTTCTGGAGAATACTGCCTCCTAATTCTTGGCTCTTCTCCTGACTTCCCCAGGAGCTGCCAGGGGGACTTGTTTCTGCCTCACTGGCTTAGGGTACTGACAGGAACAACATGATAGACTAAATACCAGGTTGGAAGTCACAGAAAGGAGGTGAGCACTGTGCCATGTTAGAATGGCAGAGAATTTGCACTTCCACAGGTATGTACCATGGGGAGAAAGATTAGGCAGAGGAATACAATAGAAACCAAATGTTCCTGAGGAAAAAAACCATAACCCAAAACAGCCAAAAGTAGCTATATATACTATAAAAAGGCCACATGTACAATATGAAAGAAAATGCATTCCCAAAGCCTGAATGTTCTCAGAACCCCTAGCTAAGCTGACTGATAAAGGTTTTCCCTTGCATAACAACCAGTCTTTAAAGACAGGGAAAAGAGGTGGCCATTTTTTCAAAACCTCAAATATAAACAAAAGATTTAAAGAAATACAAAGGAACAGAGAAACAAGGCCAACCAAAGGGCCAAAATAAAATGTCAGTTCTGCAAAGACCTATGATGTCCCTGACAAAGAATTTAGAATAAATGTGTTAAAGAACGCAGTGAAGGGTAGGAGTGTGGCTCAATAGTAGAGCTATTGCCTAGAATGTGCAAGGCCCTGAGTTCCATCCTCCACATAGCAAAGCAAAACAAATTCCAGTGAGCTATAGGAGATCACAGACAATTAAATGATATTATGAAAACAATGCCATGAACAAAATGAGAATATCAAAAAGAGACAGAAATGTCAATTAAAAAAAAACAACCAGAAATTTTAGAGTTGAAAAAAACAATAAATGAATTTTAAAATTCACCAGAAGTATTCAATATCAGACTTGATTAAGCACAAGAATTAGCACTTTAAGACAGGTCATTTGGAATCAAAGTAAGGGAGCAAAAAGACAAAAGTTTAAAAAAGGGGAGTGCCTGTTAGACTCAAGGATACCATCAAGCAGACCAATATATGCATTATGAGAGTTCCAGAAAGAAAAGGGACAAAGAACTTATTTGAAGAAATAACAGCTGAAAACTTTCCAAATATGAGGGGTGAAGATAAAGCCCTTTGGTTAGCTCATGCACAGTATTTATATATGCTCCAGATCATAAGCCTTTTCTGAACTATGAATGGAGATTTCCAACCAACACTCCAAATGTGTGGCTCTTCCTTGATCAGTTGAGCTGTTGCTATACTGGTGGCTTCCTAGAGCCAGATTTATTCTCTCTTACCTTCAGCTAATTTTCTTGTTTCTTCCCTTACAACCATCCAGGGTGCTTTTCCGTGCTCCAATAATGTGATTACATCTGGCTTAGAAATGGAATGGCCTGTTCACAAAGAAAAAATGCCATATGATATAGGAAAATAGTGTGCCTTAAATTATAATAAATTAAAGGTCAGATGATAGTAAATACAATTTTTGAGAAAAGAAGGCAAGGAAATTTAAAAATAAGAAATGAGTTACATAGGGTAAGGGTGGTTTTTTTTTGTTTTTTGTTTTTTGTTTTGGTACCAGGAATTGAATTCAGTACCTTGTGCTTGCCAGGCAAGTGCTTCTGCTGCTGAGCTACATCCCTGGCCCCTAGGGTAAGGTTTTTAAAAACATAACTTACACACCTATATCCTCTTTTTCTTGAGAGCAGGCATACAACTTGAGAGCTATTTATTGACTTATTTAATGCCTATTATTGACTTTATTACCCTCTAGCTGTGTGGAATCTTGGGCAAGTCCCTTAAACCCACCCCACCTCAGTATTTTCATCTGAAGATGGGGATAAAAATAAGGATATTTGATTTAATAAGAATTAAATCAGGTGATCTATCCCTCTGTGTGTGTAATACATTTAAAGTGCTTAAAACATTACCTTTACAAATGTAATGTTCATAGAGTACAACTTTCAACACAGACAAAACTTGTCTTAGGAAATGAAACATGTTTGCTTCAGCTTTCAATGAATTCCACTTATTCAGTGCATCACTATATAAATAGCAGAGGTTCTTTTAATTATTATAACCATCTAGGATGCTCTGTCAAGCTGTTCTTCCTGCAAATGGATTAGATAATGTAGTATGTACACTAATTCTGAGCATAATAAATAGGAAACCTAGTTCCTTCAATAATGGTTGTATGATATATGCCACAAAATCGAAATCTAACTCTTCCTTAAAGCAATCCTAAGTGGGACCAGAAAAAGCATGAATATCAGTGAAAGGGAAGATGAATACATTAATAATGGAGCTATAATTTCTATACTAACAAAGTTCAAACCACTTATTTGGGAAAAGGGAAAAAGTAATTTAGTTTTGTATGAGGCTAGCCTTGAAAATCAGAGTAGAAAAAATACATATCCTAAAGATAATATTTTACATTACCCAAAATTA